AAAAAAAAAAACAAAGCGGAAAATTAAAGACAAAAAAAAAACAGAGAGAAAGAACAAAAAGCAATGAGCTAAAAGATATCAAATGAAAATAAAACAATCACATTCGAGATTTTTCCATTCTTTTTTCCTTCCTTTTATGTACCTAATATGTAAGAGAAGAGAAGAATTTGTGTTAATCGGTCTTTCGAGAGAATCGAAGACCTACAATTTTCAATCAACGGGACAATTATAGAAGGGAGACGGTCTTTTCTTTTCTTCTCTTCTTCCTCCTTGATTAAATTTAAGAAGAGATTTTATGCGATTGTGTTGATGATGATGAGGATGATGATGGAGGTGGTAAACGAGGGCATTTTCTGTAATTTTATGGAAGCGTTTTAGAGAGAGAGACACACGGGGATTGAAATTCTTATTAAGATTATAAATAAGCTAGTAATATACTAATGGCTGGTCACTGGTTATTATCCTGTGCGAGTTAGCCATGTTGAAGATCGTACACCCTCAAAAGTACTATAATTCCTTTTGGTTTCTGATAAGATGCGGAAGTCTGGGCCGTACGATTAATAGACTATATTTCCTTTCGGTCCAGCACTGCCTCTTGGTTTATGGTTTTAGGTTTGAGGATGATAATGATTACCCTTTAAACGGTATATATAAATATTCGACTTGATTATATAAAATATGTGCATTTCATATTTGAATTTGAGAAGAATTCAGATAATAAATTTATTACGAGTACTTGGCTTGCCTTGGTATTGTGGTGATTAGTAAGATTATTGAATTACTGGCTTTTAATCACACAGTGATTTGAATTGGATTAACAAGGAAAAGAATTCTTCAAAGTACTTTCTCTAGGGAGTATGTGTAAGCTTTTCACGGTATGAAATGCCCTGATATTATCATTATCTTTCAATCTTTTTGTTTTTTATTTCTTTTATAATACTAAGGAAAGCTATGGAGGAAAAGAATGCAAATTTTGTAACACCTTGACATAGGATAAAGGGGAAAGAACGGAGAGGAGAGGTGGGTGTATAAAGAAGAAGGAATATGCATTTCTTTTCTTTTGTATACGCTACGGTTCTCTTAAGGAAGAATAAAAAGGAAAATGATATAAAAATTATGCTCTGCCTAATCAGAGCACCGTTGCGTAAGTCGAGGCGAAGAAAGCAAAAGCCCATTGGCTAGGGGCGCAAGCAAAAGCCAGGACTTTGTTGACACACAACGTTGGTGCGTAAGCAAAGCTTCCTGCGAACGCAACAATTAGAAGTGGACGACATTGGCTCCTGTTTTAAACATCATCTCTGTCGTGTAACCCCCTCTTACCGAATAGCCCGTATCAGGCTACAACTACCAATTGTTCATAGTAATAATTAGATTGAAAAGTTCTCAAAATGGAAAGCACAGAACCCACCCATATCATGCATGAAATGTACATTTCACGTGATTACAATGTGCCCCATTTCTTTTCTACTTTTTTTTTGGAGGGGATTATTTACTATATCGTTTTCGAGTGTAGCCTTTCCTATCGCTTCAAATCAAGGTGAGCATAATGAAAAATTGGAAAACTAAACTTACCCATCACGCGGTATTTACCAAAGAACAGGTCAAAGATCAAATAAACCAAATCAATACAAACAAGTAGAATTTAACAGACAGGAGAAATCATCAAATAAATAATGTTGTCCATTCAACCTTACATTGTTCAAAGTCATATAGAGATAGAATGAACAGAAGCATGAGAAGTTTCCTAAACAATGTCATACCAGAATACTATGTCCTCCCCAAGAGATCAAATCTATAACAACCTCCCCAGATTTACACAATCCAGCAGAAAGGGAAATCTATTGCAAAGAACACCTGATATACAAACATTACTAGAAATTAACAGCTTACAACCTAAGAGGACGAAAACCATCCAAATTGTCAGCTTTCACATCGGATGGGAATAGCCATAGTATTTGTTGCGGCACTGAAATAAGATATTGAATGGGATTTAGATAATGGAATTGGCTGCAGGGTGAATGTCTACTCAGTGCCTTGCATAGGAACCATCAGATGGGCCTGTGACTACAAAAGTTGCACGATATTAGAACCAACTAAAACAATTTTTTTTTTTTCTAATTTTAAAGATCCCTGTGCAAAAGCATTAAGAAATGTTAAGATTTAAGGAAGAGACATCATAGCAACAAAAAATCATAACCAGTATTTAGGAAAGACAAACTTGAAAGGGAAAAATGGAGAAAAACTAAAACAAAAAAACAGCCATTAATGAAAGCCTTACAACTATATGCATAAGCTGCATACATTTGAATGACGCATACACATACCAAATTATTTATAAGAGGATGAAACAAAATGTATATTTTTTCAAGCAAAAAAAGACAAATGGATTTCAAAAAATTTGAGGCAGTTGTAACTGATTAGTATTAAAAAAGTTGCATGCATCACATAAGTTATCATGCCCAGTTCGCAGTTGCTTGCCGAAGTAGTAAGCCAGACTTACTACAAAACCAGAGTTACTTTTAAAGTAATATTTAATCATAAATACGACTTTTATATGTTATAAGCGATGACACAGAACATATATTATCTTCTTTATCCTGTTTGGATCGATCACGAAACTTGAGAATAGGATGGACAATAAAATAGATAGTATGGTCTTCCTGCTGGCAAGTGAAGTTAGCCAGATATGACACCAGCACAGTAGCAAAGATGCTGGCAGTGGCATTGAAACATTGCAATGGCAGAGATGAGCAATGGCAACAGTAGAATCAAAAGCAATGGTGATAGTGGCAAAAAAGTACGGAGAATTGAAATAATATCAATGGCGCATCATGCAGCATCAAGGGGAATACAAAGCAATGATGTAGTCATGTCATGTTCCATTGATAAACTAGCAATACTGATGGTACCCATATTTCTCTTGTATGAAGGCTTATATGGTGCTACAAAGCTTGATGTTGATATGTATGTTCCATCCAAGATGTCATTCAGTATCCTGATCAAGACGTTTAGACTAAAACCCATGTACATCACATCACATACACAATTTGATCACTAGGACTTCAGCAATAATCATAGGAAAAAAATATAAATCCATGAACAAATTCTCAAGCAGTTGGAAAGGACCTTTACAATGGTTCCCTTGCTTCTATAACATGAGTTAGGCAAACATAACCATTAAAAGATTCTAAGTGATGTAGTACAGATAGTCAAATAGCTACTAAACTCTGTGAAGATCCTTTTTGTGGCTTTCATTCCCAAACTCTAAGGGTCAGATTTTCAAACATGTGAAATGTGTAATTACGTCTTCATATGAGATAAACATGGAAACAACCACTGTCAGATTATGCTGTTGTTTACAAGATTTAGCATAATTTAAACCAGGACTTATGCCAATAGGTTTATACATGATATCACTAACAATAAGAAGCTCATTTAAATAAACTTAACTGCATCAAGACAGATCCTTCACATTAATGTTTGGATGCATCAATGAATAAACTCAAAATAGAGTGTTATTTATTATCAGGATAATACTTTTCAGTTGTACTTTGAAAGGCTAAGCTACGATAGAGCACAATTGTAAGATGCCATATGAGATACTAACCCTAAACTAAAAGAGGTAGGATAACCATCATTAAAGCACCCCATGAAGACATAAAAATAAGCAAGGATTCATGATTGTGTTTATTTGTTGGCATATTCCATGATACACAAAGAGAGAGAGAGAGAGAGAGAGAGAGAGAGAGAGACAGAGATTACTTGAGAATTGGCATAATTAACACCTTGCGAGAATGAACCTTGATGAATGAGCTGCCAGAATTATATACCAGAAAGATCAGAGAATAAGATAGCATAGTTTGCTAGCCGTTAACTTTATTCAAGAACAATAAAGCAAACAAAAGTGCAAAGCATGAGGACCAAAACTAAAATGAATGTAAGAGCAATGAAAAACTTATATTCACCTGAGGGTTTGGGCTTGGTTGGACATCTTTCTTAGCAGATGCATCTCCACCCTTAGCTGACCCCTTGGTATCACCCTATCAAACATCATAGTTTGCAAGCCAAATACAATTAAAGAACTAGACAACATCAGAGAAATAACTTGTAGGAGACAAGTGTAGGGTGGTAAAGTATTTAATAAAGTAGCAACATGATTTGAAGAAGAAAGTATTAACTAACCTCCATCTGTAATGACCCAATCGACCACAAAACCACCAGGAAAAAAAACCAATCAATTCAGTACAGCTTGTTGCAAAAAGTTAGCAATTAAAACAGGCAATACAGATTGGAATACCAAATTATTTAAAATTAGAACCCCTTTGGTTGCTTAGAAATAACAGGTAAACAGAACAAACCTTTCGATTCTCACATTTCACCATCCATAAGCTGAAATTCTCATATTAATTTTCAACTATAATCTGAAACAGCAGATTGGAGTCCAAAAGCTCCACAAGTAGATTTATAATCTTATCTGATTGCCACATGCCCATTTAATAAATAAGGAAAATCATAAACCCATTTTTGTAAAGTTATTCATTTCCACATATAACTGCTAAGATAATGATCCTCTTCATTTACCTCAGATGAAAGCCTACAAAATGTAAGATCCACAATAACTGATCTTCTTTTTGTTCCTTCTTAGCAACCAGTTGGGGGGGGTGAAGGTGGGAGCGAACAATAAGGAATAAAAAAAACGAATTAACAATATAAATTACCTCTCTATATCTAGTAAGGTAAATCTTAAGAGGATCGATGTAATCTTCAAACCCTAAAGTTGCCATAGCCCAAAGCAGATCATCCCCGTTAATAGTCTTCCTCTTCTCTTTCTGACACTTATCACTAGCTCTGCACATAAAATTCAACACCAACTTTCCAATTAGACATAAATTTCTTACGATCGACCTATTAAATTAAATTACAACGCTTAATAAAACCCCAATAAAATACTAAACTAAGCAAAAATTTCGGGAAAAAAAAAACAAAGAGAATAGTACTCGCTGGTGATGAAGCTGATAAACTCAGAGACACACTCTTGTACGGTCTCTTTTGCATCTTTAGCGATCTTCCCGTTCGCAGGAAGAGCCTTCTTCATGATACGGCTAATGTTAGCGATAGGAAGATACCTGTCCTGTTCTCGCACGTTCGATCTCGGGCTCTGCTCGCCGCTCTCGTGACTTCCTCCGCCGGGACTCACCGGAGCAGGTGCCGCCGGGGCATCCGCCATAGCGAAAACCCTAGGCCCCACAAATCACCGAAAATCATAATAAATAATTAAATCTTTTATTTCATAAATCGAAACCCTACGAAGAGGAAAAGAGGCGAGAAAGCGAAGGACAGAGAGAGAAGGAGGGAGGGAAAAGAGGAATTTACCTTGGTGGGAAAAATGAAAAAAAAAAAAGAAAAGAAAAGGGCGGGAGAGAGGGAGATTGGATTACGAGGGGAAGAAAGAGAGGGGATCCGACGCTGGAGAAGAGAGGAAAGAGGAGACGACTGAGATGAGAGAATGAGGTTTATCAACACCGTTGGTTGGTCTCTCCTTTCATTATTTATTTAATATTTTAATACTAGGTTCTTTTCTGGGACTCACGCTCTTAGCCTTTTTTCCTTTTTTCTTTCTTTTGTTTTTTTCGGGTTTTGATTTTTATATTTCCGGTTTTTCTCCGGTTTCTGTTTCTGGATTAGGTTGCCCTCTCCCATCTCACCACGTGTCGGTGGTGTTCATCCTCTCAATTTCTACGACGTCGCTTTTTACCATTTTACCAGGCACATTTTTAACATTTAATAGATAATTGTAATTACCATATAACTTGAGAAATTTACTAAAAATCCTCCAAAATTTTATTATTTATGTGCAACAAAAGAAAACCCAATTATCTTGAAAATATTTCATATTTTGTTATTATTTAAATTTTTTATATTATATTTTAGATAATGATTATCGATAATACATGATAAGATAAATAACAACTAAATAATTTGATTGAATCAACATTATCAAGTATTTTTTTGTAATTATCTTTTTATTATGACATAATATTTAAAATTTTTTTTGAAACATTTAAAAAATTTCAAATAAATTTTATATTAATATACGATAATATCAATATATCACACAAACATAGAAATAATAAATAACTTCAAATTAATCAATCATTAATTATAAATTATTTAATTTAAAATAAAAAATAAATACTTAATTAAATAAAAATAAAAATAAAAAAATAATTTAAACACTTGTTAAAACATGATTATCCCTTTTTATTATGAATTACATAAAAAAGAAACGTGGGTTCCACTGCCCGGTAAAAATGAAACAAACGGGGTACAAAGATGAGCTAGCCATGGAAACTTTCTTAAAAATGATGGACGTGTTTCTTCTAATCATGGCGTTCGGGTGATGTGATGGTCCACCGATTGTGGTGGGCCGTCAAACACATGGTAAACTTCTCAACGGCAGTTTCATGCCCAGTTTCAAAACGTCTTCCATCATTCCAACAAGAGATTGCTACATCTCAGCTAGTCCACAATTAACTTATGACCACAATGTTGCCACCGTTCGATGTGGCCCCATCATCCCCAATGTTCCAATCAAATCAGAGGCAACTTGCTTACCAAATCCTTAATTTCTACAATTGTTTAACTAGGCAAGATGGAAACAATAACATATTTCCCAAGCAAGCTAAGCAAGACAGTCATATAACGGTAAAGAAAACCATGTTCATTCCAATGGAAAATGTGTTCTATCACCAGTATTGAATCATTTATAATGGTTTAGCTTCATTTTTTTTTTGGCTGTAAAGAACATGGATTTTGTGCAAGAAAGGGCAGAAGCTCAAAAGGAAATAAAGTTACATGCAACAACCTCAAAATTTACAAGCTCAAGAATTGGAGCTATTCTGTCTATGGGATCATCTTTCCATTTTCTTTCCTGTTATTACCTTTCATCCTTTTTTTGGGGGTGGGTTGCAGAAGTAGTTTCTCAAACCTAGAGCATGATTGAAAATTCCAGCACCTATAACAAACAATATGAGGAAAGGAAAACAAAACGGGACGGAAGGGATTGTCTCTTTGTACATGGACAAACACAAGACTATCGTGCTGCTGGCCGTGCAATGGACTCATCAAAGGACAGGTAATTATCCGTAGCAACCAAATCCAAGGAACCAGGGTTCAGGGAAGAATTGGCGGAGTTTCTAGACATGTCATCTGAGTTACCTTCTCTCACTATGATGCCTTCCTTCTCAATTAAGATTGCATCTTGGATCTCCTTCAGAACTTCCGATATTGATGGCCTCATATGTCCATGAGGTTGCACACAGTTTAAAGCCTTTTCTGCTATTTTCCACATTGATTGTATGTCATATTCATTGCATAGGGAAGGATCAATAATTCCTTGAATGTTTCCACTCTCGATATGCAACTTTGCCTGAAACACAGTTATTGATTTGAAGAAATCAACAAATGATAGCATGCTCATGTAATTATGAAAGCTTTCAGGCAAGAGCATAATCATTTGCAACCATTTCAGAGTTTGAAACCAGGGTCCTTCTCGATAACCTCAATTTATTTTCCAAACAATGACTGCAGGAAAGTACATTGAGAAGTCTAGAAGGTGATGAGCTGAACGAAAAAAAAGTGACATATAGGCAATTTCATCATTGTGTTTAATATTACTTACTGTTTAGATGTGAATTATTTGCTCAGAAGAAATTAAATAAAACTTTATATTGATAAGAACTTCAAACAAAAAGTTTCCTTCTGCCTTTCATGTAAATATATGAACTTACCCATTGGACAATATTACGGCAATTGACACCAAAGCTTTCATTAGATATGGCTTCCTGACCAGACATCAGTTCTAGAAGAATGACACCAAAGCTATAGACATCACTTTTGTCTGTTAACTGCTGGGAGATATAATACCTGTACATCAAAAGAAAACATTATAAACCCTATGCGACAAGTGGAATCATCATCAAACACATGAAGAATTTCACACTGCAGAGATTTGGTAGTGATAGTGGCCTCAAACAGAAATTACTATGGCAAAAGGAATTTACAAGGATAGCCTTGATCAATCTTTGAACATGTTAATCATCACAAATACAAAAATCCCTCTTCTTCCTTGTTTGTCTGTCTGTAAACACATAATTTTGTCTGCTAAAAACAATTTAATGATTTGAGAACAGCAGCAGCAACAACAGCAAATCAGAGCAACTACTTTATTAACATGATTTCACGCAAACAATGTAGGTTTCAGTAGAAGCAAGGCCTTACTCAGGATCAAGATATCCAACAGTTCCCCGAACTATGCTTGACACATGTGATACTCCATCTACTGCAAGTTTTGAAAGCCCAAAATCTGAAACCTTTGCCCTCATGTGCTGGTCAAGAAGAATATTGCTAGTTTTTAAATCCCTATGGATAATGGCCGGAACACAGCCTGTGTGAAGGTATTCAATCCCTGAATACAATATAAGAATTAAACCTTCAGTCACTTGAACAATGCAAGAAACTGCTGCACAGAGAAATTAGCTTAAGTACCTTTTGCAGCATCTTCAGCAATCTCAAGGCGTTTTATCCAATTGATGCCATGTTCCTGCGTTGAAGGCCCTACCATAATTTACACACAGTGAGCACTCAAATTATACTGCTTTTAACCTAAGAACACTTGAACTTACCATACAGACGTTCCTTGAGTGTTCCATTGTGCATGAACTCATAAACGAGCATACTTCTCCCATCTTCTTGACAATATCCAAGAAACTGAACCAGGTTCCTATGATGTATCCTTGAAAGAAGAGTCACCTACACCACAAGTCCAAAGTTCACACGACTGCAGTATCAAATGGCTGATTAGAAATATGCCAAATCAATGCAGCCTAAAGTATTTAAAAGCCCGACAACCCTCTTTCTAGAAAGAAAAGGTCATGGTGATGTAAAGCCTTTCTTTTTAAGAAAACTGCACAGACTTAAAAAGTCAGACCTGCATGCTTCCAATTCAATCTTTGTTTATCAGCAAGATTAGAGCAAACAATTCGAACAAATTCATAATTCTGTCTTCAAATTTAGACTGTCAGCTTATTTCAGAACCAGTACATTAGATGGGGAAATGTTCAGCACTTTTCACAAATAACATATAAACAGAAAATTTTACAAGTTTTGGCTGCTAGCTGTTTTACAGGTGCTGCATTAAGTTGAGGACTTTCTAGTCATTAACTTAATTCGAGGCTGCCATATTTTCTAGTACATAGATTTTCTTCCCTTGGTACTAATTTCTGATGAACTGAAACAATTAATTTTTGACAGTCCAATGCAGCAGAGATGAAGTCTAAATTCTGAATGCTATGGTCTTTACCTGGTATCCCCTAAAATGAATGAAATTCCCTCTAAACCTTCTGAGAAACAAACATTTAATACACCCCAATTAGAGGATTACATATGAGAAACCTTTCAAAATGAATAAAATTAGTTTTTATTCTTTCAAGTTTGATGGTCAAACAACTCCAATGCCACCATTTTAAATTTGATCTTTATCACAAGGCAAAGGTAAAACAACTGTGAGAAAGTTGCCTGGATAAAAGTGCTCATGAACATAAGACAGACGCAAAACTCCGTAACTATGAACAAGAATTTGAAAACAAAAAATGCTGTCAGATTACAGAGACAGGTTAGTGAGTCACCTCATTTGTAAATTCCCTCTTTCCTTGGAAGGAATTACTAATGAGAACTTTTACCGCAATTTCCTTCCCATCTTTCATTTTTCCATAGTATACAACTCCAAAGCCTCCAGAACCAATTTTCTTCTCAAAATTGTTTGTAGCATCTTCAATCTCAGTTAATGTAAAGCAATGTGCAGCTTCTGCAGGAGCATTACTCAAGGCCATTCTTTGACTTTGAATAGGCAAGGAATGATGAAATTGTTCTGACATAAATTCAAGCGGTTAAGCACGTAAAGCCATTTAACATATGCAACAGATTAGCCTAACTTTAAAAACATCATCCTATACCTGGTTCATGTTGTTTCTTCCCCTTGCGCAAAATAAGGCAAGACAAAATTGTAGCTATGAGCAGAACAGCAGCTCCAACTGATGAACCAATAATAATACTAAGGTGTCTCCCTCTTCCACCCCCCTCATGAAGATTAATGTTTCCAGCATAACTGTGGGGAAAAAAGTAGTTTTAACTATATATTAGTATGAAAGGAGAAAAAGATAGAAAATGTTATAAAGGGAAGCAAAAATATAAATATATTTAAGTCTGCCAACTAGCAGATAGAACATATTTGCAGTTTGTGTAAGTGTCCTTCACTGGCTATTATCAGGTAACTTTTCTTATTCATTTAAAGATTAGATAGGCTTTCTATAATCATCATATGGGAAGAAAAGCCAAAAATATATGAAAAGAGCAAACTCAAAATACTAATATTTACTCATAAGAGACTCCATAATGACTTCTGCAGCAGCTTGCAAAGAAAGTTTGAATAATAGCACCTATCTGGAGAGAAATTTAAAATCATGTTGATTAACACACTGTCATGATATTCTGTTTAAAAGATGGTGTGTTTTCCTTTTTCACATGATGAAGCACCAGCA